CTAAATTCCCCGTACAGGACCCGCCAAAATGATGTTAAAATACCTTGGGTTCAGTTCATTTCTCGCAGCTTTGCAGATGATAACACCTCCAGTGTTACTGCCACTCTGGCCTAGCAGCCGGCATTGTGCAGTGAATATCGTGACAATATTATTAACACAGAAATTCCCTTCCTGTTCCAGGCGGTGAGCTCTCTGGGTGTTTGGAAGTCCCTGTTCGCAGCCGTTGAGGCACACACTGACATCTAGACCATGTGCGAGAAGGAAGACGGGAGCGATATGTCGGACGTAGTGACCAGCAAATCTCCCGACAGCGACGCCGTCGTCCTCTCGGACACGGTGTCCCTGAGCGACTCCGACCCTGAGGATTCCGTGCCCCACTTCGATCCGGAAGTGGTCTCCTCCTCCAGCGGCGACTCTTCGGACGAGGGCGACCCGGCTGCCCCGGGACGTCCCGAGCCCGCCGGGCCCCGCGGGCCCTTCTTCCAGCTGAAGGGCACGAGCACGGGATTCTCCTCCCGCAGCCAGAGCATTTTCGACTGCCTGGAGAGCGCCGCCAAGCTGGCCATGCCCTCCCTGGGAGACGACAACCTCATCGACCGGACCTTCGTGCGCCCGCTGCCGCCGGCCAGCAGGAAGAGGGACGGCGGCGAAGACGCCCCCAAGGCGAGAAGCAAGACGCCCCCCGACTCTTCGTCTTCCAAGGCCGTGCCGGATTACCTGGTGAACCCGGAGCGCTGGACCAAGTACAGCCTGGAAGACGTGCCGGAGACCAGCAGCGCGAAAAACGCCGCTGTGGCCCAGGAGTACATAGAAACCCTGCAGCAGAGGAGGAAGCGGAGCTGGGCGGTGGACAACCAGGAGCCCTTCACTCCGGCATTCAACCAGGACCACTCCAGCAGCTCCGGCTGCAGGATCGTCTTTTCCAAACCCGGCCGGCCGCTGGATGCTCCCGGGAATCCCGAGGGGCAGGGGGGAGGAGACGACGCGCCGGGAGCCGAGGAGGCGCCTGGAAGGGGGAGACGTGGCCCGTTGGGGGAGAAGGAGGGCGGGGGGAAGAAGGAATTCGGGTTGCTCCACCTGGAAGAGCCCGAGGAAGAGGAGAACGACGCCGGCCAGGAAAGGATGGCCAAGCCCAGAGAAAGGGCGAGGAAGAGGAAGTGGGCCGGGGAGGACCGTGGGGACAAAGCCGAGGCACTGGTGGCCGCGGTGGGATTCAACGCCAGCCGGAAGGTGAATCGGAAGAACTTCCGGAAGACTGTGGGGAGAGACGAGGAAGACTGACGAAGACGTCGGTCACAATAACTTGTGTGTGGAGCTGTTGGTAAAGTTATTCTGCTTTTTCGTTTTAGGTGTAGCTTGTTTTTAATATTTACCAAGATCCTGCACAATTTTCAACCCCCTAAAAGTAACAGATTTCTTCCAGTAGTTCAAGATTTTTTTTTTTTGCAATAGAGTGACATGAAATTGTGACAAAACGTAGAACTGCGGTGTCTTTTTCGTAGTGTTCCACCAGAAATTCTCCTCCTGCTGCGACTTCTTTTGTCTTGCTCTGTTGTAGCGGAAGACGTTTTTGAGTTTATCCTGCGCGTTTCCCAGCAAGCACGTTTCAGGTTCTTTCCTGTATAGGCTGGGCTGTGTGAAAATATTCCCCTGGACGGGCCCAGACAGATTGTCCGTGTCTGGTCAGTAATTATCACCTCCTTCCTGGGGGACAGAGCCGTTCCGCCTTTCGGATCGAGCTGTCCTATTGTGTATTTGATCCCTTTGTGACTTTTTTTTTTTCCTTGCAGTGATTTTCGAGTAGCGGTGACAAAACTGTAAAAACGAACCTCTCAGCAATACTTGCATTTAAGCTGTACAGAAACCCAGTGTCCAGGTGAATAGCAGTTCTTAACTGAAGTAGAATTTCTCTGTATGTTTCAGATCACGTGTGATGTACTTTGATAGGTGAACGCCAATAAAATATACCCTTTGTTCACAGTCAGTCACATGGCAGTGTTATTTGTTATAACTGCAGCATTATGGAACGGATCTCCTGCGGATACTGTGCTCGGCAGGTGAGGCGAGATACTCTGGGTTCCAGCAAGCGCGTGCTGCGTTGTGTAGAGATTCGCTCACCTGCTGAAAAGGCTTTCGCAGGGCTTGGTGTCCTTCCCTCTTACACTGCGGGCTCTCACACGGGGGGGGTCACACGGGGGGGCTTCGCTATTCCAAGGGGAACTGCAGGCCCGGTTGCTCAGACCCGTTATTAAAATCCCGGTAACAAAATTCATTCAGCGACGTCCTGGAAGCATTTTTATTCATCTCGAATGAAGCACAAAATCGCGCCCTCTGTGAAGGGACTGTAAGTCTCCATGTCATCACAACCCGCTGGTCTCACCACGGACAAGGGCGCGAGTTCCCACAGATCTGCCACGTGGGGCGGCCCTTCCTGCTCACTAGTCCCTGTGATGACTGATTTAATGCAGTGTACGAGCGAATTTGTACAGGTTAGCCGCAAAAGTGCCGCAAAGTGATCTGCAGGCAGAGTTAACAGGTAAGTAGTATTTGTTGGCCAGAACTAGAAGTCAAGAGCAATATTTCTATTGGATTAAGAGCTGGATTCACAAGCCTGCTTGTTGACAGAGTGACAGGGCCCCTTCACCCCACTGGAAGTTTTGTTTGCTCGTTCTGAATCGCAGAACGTAGCGCTGTGGATACTGGAAATTTATTCTATTTTGTCATTTAAATGAGGAGGTTTTACAGGTTACTGTGTGCATTTGACTTCTATTGCAGTTTGCAATGTGCTCATCAATGATGACTCTCTTCAGCCCCGAAGTGTAAAAACAGCGTTGCAGCTGCTTGAGGTGGTGTCATGAAAGGCGCTATACAAAGGTTGTGGTCAGCTCTGGCAGGCTGCTTGTGTTGGTACAGCACATCCTAGTGTTGGAGCTTTAGAAACCTGTTGCCCTGATGCCTTTATATCCAAAGTGGCCCAATAAAAGTAGTTTCTGAGCCTTAAGAAATGTAATCAGGGAAGCAATTACACGGTTTAGTCTCGCACATGGTTTAGAAAGAAACGTGCTGTTTAAACGGATCTTGGGAGGCCGACGATCTGTTTGTATTCGTCCTTCGCCTGGGCACAGGCTACAGCCCCAAATAATAACAATAATAAACTTTATTTTATATAGCGCCTTTAAAGGTGGCTTCTCAAAGCGCTTATAAGCTCCTGTACTCGTATGAACGGACAGCAGGTGTCGGCAAGTCCCTTCTCGAGCGAACTGCGTGGAAGTAGTTCCACGAAGAGGTGCACAGCACCACGAACGCGTGGATTTGCAACTACTCCGCAACTCGGTGTGTTAGCTGAGGTTTTGCACGACTTTGGAAACTTAGCGCATCCTCAATGAATGACCAGTGTTTCGTGGCAAGTGGTCCTATTAATACTTCCTCTTCCGTACTTGAATTTCACTAGCTGTGAGGATACCGCTCCGGTAAGAAGCGCGCGCGTGTAGTTCGCGTTTCTGTAGTGGTGAAGCTCATGATCACCGGTCCTGTGTGTCAGAAATCAGACCTTACACGAGTAAGGTCTCCACTCGCGTCTTGCACAATCACAGCCTCTGCGGTCACTAAGCGGTTCTCTGCCGGTTTGCACGCAATCGGGCATATCCGTGGGCAGTCCTCGGCGAACTGCGGGCTCCGGCGTCACACTGGTGGGCTCCCGTGGGTCTGTCCCCGCGGCTGAATTCCTCAGAACCCAGTGTCCAGCTTCCACGCCGGAGGCAAAACACCTCCGTGACCGACTTCACTGTTCAAAGCGACGGGTCCTGAATGCTTCCTTACCCCCTGCCAGTTTCGTCATGGGAAAGGAGCTATAAACTGCTCGGATTGGTCCTGGCGCGGCAGTCGGCGCTCATGCCTGGAAAATTCGGGCTTTGGGTTCGTTTCCCGAAACTGGGACACGTCTCTCCGTGGGTTTTCCTTCCACGGTCCCGAGGCTGTGTGGGTTAATTGGAGCCTCCAATGTGAGCGGTGCGTGTGCGGGCGCCCCCCTGCGGTGGACTTGCGCGCTGCGCCCGCCAGGCTAGACTCCGGGTCACCACGCCCCTCAACCGATCAATCACATCGATTAATCACTTAACGAACACGGGTTACAGGCGTTATCAATTCAATTCAATTCAAGGTGCTTTATTAGCATGACCGATGGGTACAATCGGTGTTGCCAAAGCAAATAAAAATAATAAAATTAACATGGAACAAAACAAAAAATAGAAGTAAATTAAAATCTACAGGCATATTACAGACATTTACAACAAAGACATATTATAAAATATCATCGCACCCTTCACAGCGAAGGGCACCCCACGGCTTACAGACGGCCGATTCACGTAAAGGATTGTTTCACTACCCGCAGAATCCGTTTCGTTAACACTTAATTTTAGATGGAGATCTGAATGGAAGTTTTACTGAAGGTCTTTCTGCGATCAGAAACTAGTTGTTTCACTGTGGACGGAGGATTCAGATCGCGGCGCCGGGTAGATGGTGTGATTACGCGATTATTTACTCGTGTACATCCACGAAGAATCACCTTAACTCATAAACTGAGCATTACAGCAGTCAGTATGTTTGGATCTACTAATTTGCGAGTGAACACCTTCTTCAAGTTTGCCTTAATGCCAGGGCCGACGTGCGGTTAATGTGGCCGTTAAAATTTCTGGTAGTCGAGGATTTTAGAGATTGTCGGCCCTTGTTTGATAGCGTGATTAAATGGAAAGTAAATATTTAGCTGTGTACACATAATAGGATTGTAAATAATAGGATTGTGACTTTTGAAAATAAAAGTGTAGTATTGCTTATCATTGAATATTAAAATGCAGTGGAATATGGACGCCTTATCGTCTTATTTACGAAAAAAAAATACTGAAAATTGATGGCGACGTGGCTTAAAGGCCAGCTTTAAAACGGAAAAAAACCCAAAACGAAACGTCAAGAAACACTAACTCGTGTTTCTTAAACTGGAATCGGAGACCGTAAACTGCCGGGTTGTGGAGGAACGCAGAAGCACAGCCTCATCTGTGTGTCAGGGTCAAACGAACGAACGGGTGAGAGAAATTAGTAAAAGAGATGATTAAAAACTGAAAAAAGAGCCGATTGTTGAGACTCGGGTTGTGTTGAGCCGCAGAGTTGAACAAAGCAGAGCGTTTGCGGCTTGTAATTATCCAATGCAAACGTCTTCCCACGTTGTGTAGGCGACACCCCCAGGGGAAAAAACCCCCACACTCGGGCGCGACTTCAGGTAGCCCAGGTGAGGTTCAGGCAATGTGAGGCACCGCAAACCTGCCCGGCAGCTTTGAGCGCAGGACGGCCCGTCTGGGCTGAGGCAGCAACACGGAAGTAAAGAGCGAGCCAATCTCAGGAGCTGCGCAAACCAGACGCGTGAATGTTTGGGTTTGAAGCAAGAGGAGTATTTAAGTATCGAGAGCTGAATTCCTCAACCATTCAGTCCCGCTCCTCGCTGCGGATGAACTCCTGCGTTGGACAGAGTTAAAGGAGTCGGCATGAAGACTACCGGCGGGCAGGTAAGGCGATATCGATAGGTGTTCGTCGTCAACATACAGCACACCCGCCCGGACAGATGCGCTTCTACGTGCATGAACCAGTTTCAGGTGAATGAATGCGAGTTCTTTTTTTCTCCCTCTCTCTCTGTCTCGGGTACTTGATCGCCTTTAGCTTTTTGATATAGTGCAACTGTATCCTAACTTCTTCGATCGCGCGAGTTACGAATTGCGCGCACAGCTCATTTTCTTCAACCCCCATGCTCCGGGTCTCCAGTATCCTGTAGCAGGAAGACGCCTGCTGCAGGTACAGTAGGTCGCGCTCGGTGGGTCGAGCTCGGCTCTGCTGGCTCTGCTATGGAACAGGTGCCCACTGTACCTCCAGGATGACGTCAATCACAGCAGCGTTCTGCATTAAGCCGGGGTTTCAGCCACTGGAATGAATTCCGCTGCAAAATCAAACCCTCTCTCCCGTTAAGGAAACGTTATTTTGAAGTTTTGTTTTCGATTTGTCTTGAAAATGCACTGTCACGTCACGCCGTTCGTTTTCGGTTTGTTAGCGTGCTTGCGGTGGCTTGTTTTTGGTGGGAGCGACGAAAATAGACCGATCACACTGTCCCGTGGGCAGCGCAGCAAAGTCAAAATAGAGCATAGAA